AATGTTTGCTACGCTGTCCTTAGTTTTTTTATTGAATTGGCCATGAATTTACCTTCACTTTTCCGTAGTTTCGATATTGAACGCTCCGACGGCCGCTCCTCACTAACGCTCCATATTTTCGTGGTCGGCCAGTGACAATGTGTGACATGTGTCAATCCTTACCCTACCCGTGATTGTTTGTGCCTTAACAATCGGATAAAGTGACGAACGAGAAATATTCACTTTATTTAAAATATTTTCAGCACGCATACCCTTGAAATTCATCAAAAGTTGTACATGTGCGCGAGTTTCAGCGTCAGTTTTCAGCTTGTAAACCATATCGACGTTAATTCTGGATATCGCAGCCCTTTTATTACATCTCACGTAATTCAAATTGGCCCAATAATTCGGTCGTGAATAAGTCAATGTCACCCCTACCACCAATAACATAATTATGTCATTGATTCCTTTAATTTCAGTTAAAATCAGCGTCATGCACGGCTCAACTTGTATGCAGTAGCACAATTTTGCATTCAGATAATGAGGGACAAAAGTGTTGACATACTTCCATAAAATGGCCCCTTTTTGCATAGTGGATATACCTATCCTCTTCAATTCCCCTGTCTACCCCAACCCCTCCCCCCCAAAATCAATGTTGAATTTTGGACCCTCAAGTCTTCTTTTTACTTCAGACAACATTGATTCGGGGGGTGAGGGGATTAACGGCGTTTAAAAAGAATGAAATAATAAATGAATTAAATGTTTGCTAAAAGCACCCGTTTTAAAACAAGTGTGTCAACTACGTACTTTTGTCCCTGATTGTAGGCTTGTAACATTTAAGATTATATTAACTTTACTAACCTTCACTTTTAAGAATTCTTGCTGACTTTTCGCATTTGTGTATAATGGCTGTTTCGTAAGCTGTCTTTCCAAACTCATCTTTACTAGTTATATCAGCATTATGGTTCAAAAGCTCAACCACACAATTTATATTGTCCATTGATGCTGCAATATGAAGAGGTGTGTAAAAACCATTGGCCTTGGCATTTGCATTTGCACCATATAGGAGTAACAACCTGACAACTTTGGTTTGACCTAGGTTGGTTGCCTCATGAAGTGGAGTGTAACCAAGGAAACCAACACGCTCTTCCAACTTGCTGTTATCCTCTATCCCATTAAGGTAGGATTGAATTGCAGCAATATTACCCTGACGACAGAGGGTGTGTAGATAACCAGTTGGTGAGGATGGATTAGAAGTCATCTTTACAACTAAAGAAATACAAATAAAACACACATCACAATGGCATCAGTAAAAAATTAATGTTTAAACTTATGTAAAACCTAATGTCATAAGTTGGAGGCAAGTAGGGTACATGTGATGCCAGTTTTTTCTTGACCTTTTTATGTTAACTGCTTTACCATACATATGTGGTCAAATGCTGTTGATTTGTAACCAGCTAGCAATGTGTGCCATTTCCTTCATTGTTTTTAAAACCACCAAATTTTTTGCCAAGTAATTCTGCTTCCCTGTGCAGAATGTTTTCAATAATATATTAATGCACTTATTCCAGAATAAAAATTTTATGTCAATTGAATGGATGTTCCTGAATATTCACTAACTGTATTTACAAAATACAAAATTTAATGTAACTCGTTTCCTTTAAAAACAATAAAACTAATAAAAATATTATACATGTAAACGCATGATAACTTCTTTGAAAAAAATCAGAACCAGTTTAATTTGTTGCAAACTGGATTTTAAGAAAGAACGACTGTCACTTATTTCTGTATATATATATCTGTTATATCCCTGTTCTATTAGACTCTAATAAAGCAGCTACAGCACAGTAAGAAACAGTTTCCATACCAAAGCTAGGCTCATTTAGTTCTGATAGGAGCACTCAGTTAAGCATATTGGCTTCTGATATTCACATGGTCACAGAGCTGTGAAATTCAGGTAAATCTGCAAAATCCCCCTAAATTCACAAAACCACGAAAAATACCGTGAAATTCCGTAGAAATCTCATCAAACACTTGTCTGTACAACATATTTGAAACTTATTTCAGCTATAGAGGCTATTTACTTGCCGTAAACTTGCAAATTTATCTTGGAACTTCGTCACTGAAACGTGCAAACAATGTCCCAAAACTACCAGGCGTAAATTATGTTGCGAAAAACTGGGCACTAGCCATGATGTTAAAGGCTTTAATTAATGCCATTGGTTCATTTCTGGAACGTATTGTTGTTGAAAGAGCAAATGATGGCCTCTGTTAGAAAAACGTTAAAAATGCTGGTCTGATCAGCGCAAAACCAATCGATTTCTAGCGAAATTTGCCTTGAAAATAACCACAAAATTGGCTGTTTTTTACCAATTGCTTTTTGGTGAAGTTTGCCCTAAAACCTCCCACCAAATTCCCGCGAAATCGGCCAATTTTTCCGCGAATTTGTCCCTAAAAATCCCGCGAAATTTGACTTTTTCTTCTGTGACCTATCAGAAGCCCTGGTTAAGGTACTGTCCATAATGCTTGAGAAAAAAGAATTCATCCATATATATGCCGACATAATAGTGCAAAGTTCTGTTTTTTTTTAAATAATTTTTTGGGGGGATCTGGAAAACAAAAATTCAAATGAAATTTGTCAGACAAAAGGAGTAAATGAAAACCCCTTAATCTCCACATCAGCTCATGTCCAGTACTATCTCAACACAAAGCATAAAAGCGTAGACAATGTATGCTCAATATATATATATGTAATCTATGAAACCCCAGATCATGCAGGTCACGCAAGCTTGCCATACCACTGAGCATACTCAGCTCTCCATTCAGCTGTCATTTTTCCTCCCACATGGAAAAAATTTCACTTTTGCAGTTTCCTGTAGTTTCTGGGTTGGAAATGAAAATCGTTCAGTCAATAGAGAAGGATCTTAGTCCTTGTCACACCTACACTGAAGTTGGCTTTGACACTTGATGTTTGTATGCATGACTCTAATAGCCTGTCAAATGAATGCCACTCAATGGCAAGCCCACTTGTTGGCTGGAACAGGTATAGTAGTAAAGGGACAGGAGAAAAAAGATTAAAGAATTTTCCATAAAGGTTTTTCCATAAAGTAAAAGGTTTTCTATAAAACTATAAAAGGGCAAAATCCAAAATACTTGTGCATCCAATTTTCCAAACCTACCCTTCTAAAGAGAGGGGTAAATTAAGCTTGCTGTTAATTATGAGGAAAACAGTGCAAAAGAGCAGAAGTGAGTGTTTTAATCAGAGCAGAGAGCTATAAGATTGAACTTTTACAAAGATGAAGATCACTCTGACATCATGGCCAATGGATTGGAAATAAATTGATCAAATAGCTAGTGCTTTGAAATTCCAACCATTCAGCAAGAGCATCAGTAGCTTTGCAGAATAAGCTACTACAATGTGGGAATTAATAATTTTGATGATGTCAGATGCAAGGACTCATTAATGCAAAACTAATAATGAACTAGCCTTGGCATAACTACAGAATACAGGGCCAAATCCCTTGGTATACAAGCTGTATATTCGTTGGGGTGTCTCTGCAGCGCGCCAGTCACTGATGAGTCTTGAACCGACCCAGTAAAACATCAATACCTTAATCTCCTTCTAACCTTGACTGATGAGCCACTAAGCCACCGAGCCACTAAAATATTCATCTTTCTCCTAATTAATTAAGACACTATAAACCTCAACTGACAAGCCAACGAGCCATCACGCCACTAAAAATATCCTTACTTGTTCTTAAAAACTTATGCTGAAAATAGGTTTCTTAAGTCTGTCTTACACTTATATGTCTTACGTCATAGAGTGATTTTACTTAACCCGTGAAATGTAGTAGAATACTACGCACCATAATGGACTAATTCAATTGTCTTCCTTTGCTTATTTGTAGCTCAATTTTGTACTAGTTGTTACTATCTGTTTCACTGTTGAAGTAAAATCACTCTAGTTTTATAAACACTCGTCTTGACTAGCGACCCGCCGAATACAGAACCATCTTGTAGAGTCTTATAGCTCCCTGGCCGTATTATTGAAATGACTAAACGGCAGAATCGAACGAAAAGGGGTTTTCTAAAAAAACAGGCCAAAACATAAACTTTTAAGACCGTATAAAAATTGTGCAAAAAATTTGCGGTTCGCATAGGAAAAATCATGGGGGATATTAGAAGGGATCAAAGTCTTTCAACAGACAAAAGATAGTTCGTCTGAGCAAGTGCGGGGAAAGCAATATTTTGTAATTAGTTAAACTATTTTAAGTCCGTTTTTTCACTTAAGTAAACACGGCATTTCCGCTAATATACTCCCATGCTCTGTAAAATACTACTGTCTTAAGCCTCACAGAACTATCGACTTTTTCAGCTGCGATAACTATACATAAAATCCTGACGTGACACCACTAAAAACAGTAATGACAATTTCACGGGGCATGGATATTGTATCCAGTTGTACAGCATGGCACAAAATCCCCATAACTGATAAGCTCATTAATAAAGACATGATCCATAAGCAATTCCAACCTGTAGATAACGAATTTTTGAAGAAAACGAAAATGTATGGAGTTGACATACCTTTGCCACTGTAAACAAATCAAAGTGAGCAGAATTCACAGGAAAACGTAGCAGAACAGCACATCCTGTTCGACGATTCCACGAAGGATTCGATCACATGACTAAGACACATCGGATGTTGGGAATGCGTGACCCTTGATCTTCACGTGACTTGATGCAAAAAATCTGGGGCTACGTTCTTGCGCGTATTTATAACAGGAACTGCCCCTGGATATCAGTGGGAAATTTTTCTTTTGACACACTGGTTCCAAGTTTATTTCCCACGAGCAAGCTCACATCCCACAGACGGTAAACTCAAAAATCGCGTGGTCCAGGACTTTGAACGGTGCGCCGGAAGTAACAATCAGAGTGAAGATAAAGATTCCGAGAACTTGCAATTGGAGAAGTCAGAAGCTTTCTATAGTTGCTGCTGTAGTTCATTGCTTTTTATAAAGATT